GCACAAAACAGCAACTGTTTCTGAGCTACTTTGGACTTGCTACCGTTTCCATCGCATTCATTGGTCAGTTTTTTACAATGGTTTATAGTATTTCAGGGTGTAGTACAAAATGTATGTGTTATGCTGGTCTGTAAGATTATGTGTAGGTCACTGTTTTTGCTGGACATTGCCGTAAAAGTTAAGACATTTAGTTGTTGATGTTTTAAACAGAGCGAGGGCTTTGTATTATGTTGATACTTGGTCTTTGTGTGTTGTTGTGGTGCATTTAAAAACTAGATTTGTCATGCAGTCATCAGGGGGTGTGTTAGTTTCCTCTGTGCAAGTCCAGATATGCAGCCAGCGAAAGTTCAATTTGGTAGACGTCAGCCAAAGGTAACCCCTCCAGGCCGGTTCTCATCCCCAGCCTATCGCACGGCAAACGCCCCCTTCCAATCACCGGTCCAGCCAGGCAAGCTGCTTAAAAGCGGAGGAACTCCCATTCTCGGCCTTCTCGAAGCCTGCAACCGTTCTGGAGGAATCGCTTGTCTACTCACGCTTACTCGTTGCATGTGTCCCTGCTGTCCTCTGTCTTGCTGCGTGTGGTCCGCTCCTCCTCCGCGTCGCTGCACCTGCTGCGGGTCTCGTGCTGTGGTCCGTGGGTCTTTGCCGCTCTCCTCCTTTGCGGGCTCTTTCTGCGGGTCCGCCGCTGCTCGTCTCGTCGCGGCCTGCTGCTGCATACGGCCGGTCTGGACCGGTGCGGTGGGAGCCGTGCGCATCCCTGCCTCCTCGTGCCGGTACGGCGTGGTCCCGTCGTGTTGTCCCTTGTCTTCTGGCGTTGTGGGTAAGTATGAGATCTGCGGACGGTTTATTCCCCTCGCATTGTACTACAGGCTCAGTTGGCCCCGTGCATTGGTGTGCCAGCTTCAGTTTAAAGCCCTCGCATTGTTCTGCAGGCTCTCTTAACCAAGCTCCGTTTAAATCCTTCACTCTGACTGCAAGCTCCGTTATTCCTCACATTGGACTGCAAGATCTCAGTTTAATCCCTCACATTGGACTGCGTGCTCAGTTTTAATCCCTCACTTTGGCCTGCAGGCTCTGTTTAAATCCCTCTCTTTGGACTGCAAGCCCCGTTTAAATCCCTCTGGACAGGCAAGAAAAATATGGTTCTGCTCATATCTGGAACGCTTATATATAAAAATAAATAAATATAAATAAATATAAATATGAATAAATAAATAAATAAATACATAAATAAATAAATTAAATAAACTGCAGGCTCTGTTGGATCCCTCACATTGGACTATAGGCTTTCGGTTAAACTCCTCACTTGGACTGCGGGTTCAGTTAATCCCTCACTTGGACCGTAACAACTGTTAAATCCCTCACACTGGACTGCAGCTCTCGGTTTAATCCCTCACCTCGGACTACAGGTCGTTTAACTCCCTCGCACCGGACTGCAGGCTCTCCGTTAGACGCCTCACTTGGACTGCGGGCTCAGTTTTAATACCTCACTTTGGACTGCAAGCTCTATTTAAATCCCTCACATTAGACTGCAAGCTCTGTTTAGGTCCCTCGGCGTCTCGTGTCCCGCAACCTCTTCCCGGCTCTCCGTGAGCCCCAAGTCGGCACGCGGCTCGGACGCGGGAGGTGTCCGTGGGCTACGTCATCGGCCCCTTTTCTCCGTCTCGCTCTAACCCGATGGGCATCGCCACCCGCAAGCACTCCAGGAAGAAGCGTCTCATACTCGTCCTCTCCTGTCCCCGCTCCGGGCCCGCCCGAGCATCCACAGCCCCTTCCCTCCAGCGCCCTTCTCCCTGCAGTCCGCTACCATGGACCACGCGATCAGGCTGATAAAGACTTTCTGCCCCGGCTCCTGGCTCTCCAAGGCCGTCATCCCGGACCTTGACCCCGACCACTGGCGCTGTTCAGGGGTCAAGTGGCGTCGGAGTTCTTCTTCGCAGTGCGCCTCACCTTTGTCTGCCGGAGTAGTCCCTCTCTGTTCAACAATCTCTCGGAGGCGCCGTGTCTGTTTCTGCTTAATTACGCGCGGCTCCCCTCTGTCTGCATTTCCCCGATAATTCCCTCGTAGTCAACCCACCCTCAGACTGCTCCGGGGGCTCTCTCCGCAAGCTCAGGCCCGCCTTCTCTGCCCTCGGATTCCTCCACTCCGGAAAGACCACAGGCCCCGCCAACGCTCTGGAGTTTCTCGGCATCCGCCTTGACACACGCGCCATGGAGGCCTCCCTCCCGCTGGACGAGCTCGAACGCATCCGCGTTTCTCCCGGTCTGCCTTGGCCTTCCCGTCACTTCGAGGGGTCCTTGCTCTCCCTCCTCGGGCATCTTCATTATGCCGTCCGTATCATTCCCCAAGGTCGTTCTTTTATTCCAGACTCCTCTCCCTCGCCGGCTCCGTCTCCTCCCTCAACGATGCTGTCTGCCCGGACTCGGGGCGCCGCTCCGACCTGGCGTTCCGGTCCCGTCTGCAGAGCCGCCGGGACGGTGTATCTCTTTTTTTTACAGTGACATCATCCTGTCTCAGATGCCCCGCGGTTCTTCACGGACGCAGCCCCGTCCGTGGGTTTTGGGGGTTTTCCAGGACCAGTGGTTCGCCGGGCCCCGGCCCGACGCTTTCCCTCGAAGCATCTCCTCCGCGCTCCACGAGATATATCCCATGACCGTAGCCTGCGTGCTGCGGAACCATACGTGGCATAGGAAAGGATTTCCGTGACGTGCGACAACCTCGACGTCATTGAAATAATTAACAGAGGTCGTTCATCCTCTCCCCAAATCACACCCTCCTTAGACGCATCACATGGCTCTCAGTCCTGAACATTTTATCATCACTGCTCGTCACCTAACTGTCTTGCTGACTCTCTCTCTCGCTTTAAATTCCAGGAGTTCTGACGCCTCTGCCCTTCTGCCAATCCATCGCCATGCCAGATCCCCTGCACGGAATCCCTCGCCCTGGTCTAGTCCCTCCGTCTCTTCACCTTCTCTCCTCCGCTGCATCCTACATGAAAATGGGCTTCTTACGCATAAGCGAATTCACAAACTCTCACGCCACCTTTAAATGCATCCCGAGACATTGCCTCTCTGACCTGTCATATTATCCCGACTACTTCAACCTCCACCTCAAGCATCCAAACGCAAAGGCGCTTGCAATATAGTCATAGCCCGGCCTGACACTTCTCCCTGTCCCTATAGATCCATGATGCAGTACACTCGCCTCCGCTCTCGGAAAGGAGATCTCAACGGACCGTTATTTCTTACCCCCGATAACCTCCCTATGTCCTCCAACTGGTTCAGAGCCCAACTCAGGTCCGTTCTGCTGCTTTGTAACATGTCTCCCCATCTCTACACAGCCCACTCCTTTCGGATAGGCGCCGCCACGCGCGCCGCGTCCCTTGGGCTCCCCTATTCCGCCCTCCAGCAGCTGGGCCGCTGGTCATCATCGGCCCTCTCCTCATACATCAGGCCTGACACTTCTTCCATCCTGGCAGCCCAGCGGCTTTTGGCATCTTCTTAAAATGCTCGCTAAACTTCCTGGTGGCGGCAGCAGCTGAGGATCCGCAAGTTTGGTCACAGTAGATAGCGGTCACAGCATAATAGTGATAGCGGTCACAGTATATAGCGATAGCGGTCACAGTATATAGCGATAGCGGTCACAGTATATAGCGATAGCGGTCACAGCATATAGCGATAGCGGTCACAGTATATAGCAAAAAATGGTTAGCGGTCACAGTATATAGCAAAAAATGGTTAGCGCGCGATGGTCGCGACTCGTCAGCATATAGCGATAGCGGTCACAGTATATAGCGATAGCGGTCACAGTATATAGCGATAGCGGTCACAGTATATAGCGATAGCGGTCACAGTATATAGCGATAGCGGTCACAGTATATAGCGATAGCGGTCACAGCATAGAGTAGTCTCGACGTCTGTCCCCTCCAAACCAGGCTGCAAAACTCCATCAACTCACAACCTTTTTGGGGATTGGCTCGCTCCTTCGCATGGAGGCCCTCCGATCCGAAGGCCGCACCGGGGCCTAGGGCGCCAAACCTCCTCCCAATAAAATACTCAAAGCTTCTTGTTTCTCGTCTCTCCAAATTGAAATGCAGCCAGCGAAAGTTCAATTTGGTAGACGTCAGCCAAAGGTAACCCCTCCAGGCCGGTTCTCATCCCCAGCCTATCGCACGGCAAACGCCCCCTTCCAATCACCGGTCCAGCCAGGCAAGCTGCTTAAAAGCGGAGGAACTCCCATTCTCGGCCTTCTCGAAGCCTGCAACCACCGCCTCCCCTCCTCCTCCTCTTCACCCTGCCTCATTCTGCCTTCAATCTGCTTCCCGCTGCAAATGCCGCCACCATTGCCTAGGTCCCGGGGTATTGGCTCGCTCCTTCGCATGGAGGCCCTCCGATCCGAAGGCCGCACCGGGGCCTAGGGCGCCAAACCTCCTCCCAATAAAATACTCAAAGCTTCTTGTTTCTCGTCTCTCCCTGCGATAAGGACCCCATTGAAAAAACAACTCAGATTATCTCAAAAGGGCTATCCTTAAACATATTACAGTACAGTACAGTAAATTCCAACTGAGCAAACGCCACACCAGACCCCACCCTTCCTCGGGTCTTTCAGGACAAACTGGACTCCCTGTTCGAATTAAATGGGAGTTGGGTGTTGCTCCTGCGTTTGTTGAAATCAAACCCTGCATCCACACAGCACTGAGTCACCCATGGTCTCGACCAAGTTCTGGAAAGCAGTCCTGAAATCAGTCCTGAAAGCAGTCTGAAAGCAGTACTATAGACGTCCCTATGGCCCCGACAGAAGCGTCGTCACTGGTCCATATGCTCTGGTGCTTGCTGCCGGACCCCATCCGCTCGTCTCTGGGCATCTCTGTTTACCAGCTTATAATTTCCTGGAGAAAGTTTCTCGAACATCCGCCCACGCAAGGCAACAGTTTTGCAGCGCGGGGCCCTTCCAAAGTGCGTGGTGACTAATTAGGATCCCTGCGGAGTGAGCGGGACATATGGCGGGCTCCTTTGTGGGTTCGGCCCTGATATTTAGCGGCGGAGGTTGCCAATGGTAATTCTGCGAGCGTTCAGTTTCAACACATTACTCACGGGGGACTGTACAAAGTTGGTCCTCGATGTTAATGAAGTGCGTAGGGTTCGGGTGTCGGAGTGAGGTGTAAATTGAATATTGTTAAATGGTTTCCTTTAACTTCCTCACTGTTCCTAATGTTGGCCTCCGGACTGCTTCTCTCATTCATACAATAGGGATAATTCTCTTTTTAAACTCTAAACAACACTTGGAGGAGTAGAGGCTATTTGTAGGCTACGGGGAAGGACCAGAGAGAGTACCAGAGAGGAGATAGAGAGAGATAGAGAGAGACCTGAGGGTGACCAGAGATAGACTAGAGAGAGTCCAGAGAGGGGTGGAGAGAGTGACCAGAGAGCCTTAGAGAGAGATTAGAGAGAACGAAACATGGGACCAGAGAATAACCAGAGCGTCGAGCCAGAGAGAAACCATGAGTGAGACTAGATGGAGACCAGTGAAAGAGAAACAGAAAGGAACAGAGAGAGCCGATAGAGAGAGACCCGAGAGTGAGGAGAGAGCCGCAAGAGAAAGACTGGACGGAGAGAAAACAGAGTGAGTCCTGAAAGAGTGGACTGAAGAGAGGGGACTAGAGCGAGGACAGAGAGAGACACCATTGTCTTTGAAGTATTTTTTCACAGTTTTTAAACTCTCAGCGTTGACACCAGGATGGCACAGGTTCACCAGCGGTGGGTCCTAGGACCAACGACGGGAGGGGGGGGAGGCTGGGTCCAGGCGCCTCGGGCGGCAAGGATAGTGGAGCGCAGAGTTGAAGGGCGAGACCCGAGAAACAGCACAGAGGGCCAGAAGAAGAAGTGACCTGGACCAGTTAACAGTCTGAGGTTTGGAATGAAGACATATAAACGTATATATCAACAAGAAATTGTTGTTTTTTTTGAGCTTGTTTCAGACTCGACGTGGTGAGATAACATCCAATCCATCCATCATTTTCTTCCTTTTCATCCGTTGCCGGTGTCACCTGGGGGCAGAGTATATGCAGAGAAGCCAAGAATTCCTTCCACACACGCTTCTCCAGCTCGAACCGGAGCGGGCCCCAAGGGTTCCCAGGCCACAGAGAGAACCTTTTTTGGTCAAGCACACCGGCCTCAGATTTGGCAGGCTGATTCTTCATCCCAGCGCGTCACAACTTCGGTGAGAAAAAGATTACGGTCATACTGAAGAGATCTTTATTGGTCCCACAGTGGGGGAAATGCCCAGTTACATTAAAAATGGAGCACACAGCACAAGGATGCAGTGAAAGTGACTATTCTGAAAATATAGACAATCTCTACCTTTTGTCTGTCTAACATATCAGAAAAGACAGTTAGATTTTAGTTGCATAAATATGAACGCACTGCTCCTTATGTCTAGTCTGTCTCTAGCACCAGCAGGAGGGCCAGTCCCTGTGCTCCCTCAGCGTCCCAGCTCAAGAGGCTCGTCGCCTGTGCTCCTCAGAGTCCCATCAGGAGGCCATTCCCTGTGTCCTCAGAGTCCCAGCAAGGCTAGTCCCTGTGCTCCTGAGTCCCAGCAGGAGGCAGTCCCTTGTCATATGGCAACTAACATGCTTTGTTTTCATAAAAGGAAAAAAAATTCTCATCTTAAACTAGTGATTTTTTGTTTGTTGGGAACATTAACACACACAAAAAACATTCACACACTTGAGACAAATTGCCGACCAAACTTTCCAGTCTCGCACCTATTGTTTTTGGACAAAGACTACAGGTAAAAGTTGAGATAACGGTGGATTCAGTCAGTTTTGAACCTATGTAATCGTCATTCACAGTGGGTTGGCTGAAGTCACGGCGGTTCTTGAAAACGACTGTATCAAACCCTTCTTCACATTTCCCGTCTGCAGACACAATCAATTTGAAATGCTGATGAGAGTTCGAGGTCTGCTTAAATGTCTGTCATAGGGCTTCTTATTGAATTTTAGACGTAATATAAAAGTTGTGTAATGAGAAGCATATTCAGTGCATATCGTCCGTGGCCTCGTCTCGTTTTGATCGTCTCTCGTGCCGATCACCATACGTTTTTAAAAATTAGTTATTTACAAAACTGGTCACACAAATTAAATGTTTTACTGTGTTCAGAATTGATTACACAAGCAAATTAAGGGAATTTAGAGAGAGTTGGTGTTACTAAGGTTTGGACCTGTTCTTTTTTTGTCTGTTTAGCTGCCAATAATAGTTTGAGTCAGACATAATCAAAATACTATATTAGATTTAGTGGAACCAGGTTTGGACTACCCTTTAACTATGTACTATCTGCAAAAGTGATTCATAAATACTTAAAAATCATTTTTTTGTGTGCTGAATTTTTATGATTAATTCTAAATTTTACCATTTTACTTAGGACCCAAGGGGGCCAAAAGTACCGAACACAAGGGGTAATATAGACATCACCTCCGCACTGCTGTTGTTGAGTTCATGGGCAAAACAACTTAACCCAACTTTTGCCTGAAGACCACGCTGAAAGATCAAGGCTATACTCACACAGATGCTGGTGCCTGTGGATTGGGTGGCAGCTGAACGGGAAGGATTAAGGCGAGGTAGGATAGGGATGGATAAATCATTTATGTGCCTCTATGAACATAGCAGTAAAAACAAAATTGAATAAAATTAAAGAGCCATACAAACTTACACCAGTGTTAAAAGCCGTGCATAAAATGGGTCTTAATGGGTTTTTTAACGGCAGTAAGGTAGATAATCCTTATTCTTGGTTGATCATCAAGACTATTTGTCCTCCAATTGTCAATCAATCTGGTGTTTCGAGCTCTTCAAATTAGACCAAGAGGGTTTTGGTTCAAAAAGTGGAGAGGGACTTCTTTCCAAAAATGTAGGGAATTACCCTCCTGTTATACTTGTATGTCGTGTCTGGGCACTTTGTGTTGGGTGCTTATTCCAAACTCTAACTGGTCACATGTTGTTGTTTCCCAACCAGGTCAGATGATGGTGCCACACGGGTGGAGTTTCCACAACATTGAGAAGGGAATCATGACGGAGCGCGCTTCATCTCCGTGGTGCCGTCCAACTTTATCGGCCCCTGCAGGGCCTGTCCTTCAACGCCTTGGCCCTACCTGGACCAGTGCAAAGAAGGGGACATATCCTTACTGCGAGCTCATCGCAGCTTCGGAATGCGCCACTATCATCGCCGATCCGGGTGTCATTTCGAACCAATGGGAGCTACTTGGCTCTGGCCACGCTACGGCCCTACGTCCATGCTCCTGTTTCAAGTTCAAGACCACCACACCCGCCGGGACTCATGCTGTTCAACTCTGGGCGGTGAGCGGACTTCATCGTAGTGGAGTGGTCAAAAGGGTAAGTATGGTGGAGAGCTGGGAGAGAGCAGAGAGACGAGTTAAGGATAGAGGTTGGAGGAGAGAGCATATAAAGAGGGTAGAGAGAGCGACCAGAGTGAGAGCAGAGAGAGAACAATGAGAGAGAGAGAGAGAAAACTGAGAGGGGATATGAGAGAGACCGAGAGAGAATACCAGAGAGTAGGACCAAAAGAGAACCAGAAAGAGCGATCAGAGAACCCAGAAAGAGACAGAGGGAAAGAGACCAAACAAGAGAGACCAGGAAATAAAAAGGACTTTACAAATTTGTCGATTCCTATCAAACACATATGAGAAATTGTTCATAAAGGTAAATAATATTTCTAATGCAGCAGTTTTATAGAAGGGACTGGGTTCAATTCCGTCGGAACAGAGCCTCCCTGTGTGTAGTTTGTATGTTATCCCTGTCTAACTGCGACTATATTCTACCACTACTACTCCTAATTACCACTACGACTATAACCTACTTTCTACTTCTACCACAACTACAACTACCACCCCAATATTTATTTTCACTATTTTGTTAGCATCTTTAACAGACACCAGGACATCAATTGATTTGCACTAAACGTTTTTTAGTGTCTCCTAAGATTATTATACTAAAGTGTAAAGTTTTTAAATTGAATTTTATATGAATGCTTGCTTTAAAAAGTTATTAAATTGTTAAAATACATTGTCCGTAATTCTTCATCAGACATTTATGCTTCTTTCGAAGTAACATAGCAAAACTTATTTACACAAATACAGCATATATACTGTATTTCAAAACTTACATTTAAATGCATTGTACCGCATTTTGGTGTGTACCGCAAAGAATTATGGGCAATATCCTTCGCCAGAGTCAGCTTATGCCGCTTTTCCACAGTAACAGTACGGTACGATTCGACTCGACATGGTACGCCCATAGACTGTAAATATTAACGGACGTAGTCACGTCCATCTCCGCCGTTCAAACAAATGGGCCAAAAAAGTGCTCTACTGGAGCTATCCAAAATGGCCGCGAGCCGTCCCGCCCACAAGAAAATTGTGAAAAATGCGCATGTGCATATGCGCATGCCTCAGTTGGTGCAAGCTCCATTCATTTAAACGAGTGCCTTCAAAAATTCACAGCAAGTAAACTAGAGTGGTCCAAAAAAATTCACTCCCTCAGAATTGACACACATGTGGAACGGAGCTTTGGGCCAAGAGCCAACTTTTGGACCATCTTGTAAAGACGTTTTCGAGAGGTCTGCCAATGCTATATGTTAGCATTGGCTAATTCTCATTCCGGGTCCATCCCCATCGGCCCCGGGTGGTATTGCAAGCATGTCAGCGCACGTCATTTTGGCCACTTTTGAGCCGGGACCCGCCCCCACTGGGTACACCACCGCCCAGTTCGGTTGGTTTTCCATCAAAAATAGTATCTCCTCAGCGTTGTCAGACCATGTAATGTATGTGCGACTGTAAGCCGGCACGGTGGTGTTTTATTCATTTTGTATTGCTGTGTGTGGTTGCTGTGTTTTAATGACCCGTGTGCCATGGCTACCCTGCACCACCTGACTGCCACCAGCCAACCGGACCTCCCTCCCAATCACCGCACCTGCGTGAATGGGCAGGCAGGAGCTTAAAAACTCACTCTGGAAGCCACGAGGAGGAAGCCACGGGAGCCGCAGGGGTAGGAGGAGGCCACGGGGGCAGGGGCAGGGGGAAGCCACGAAGAAGTAGAGGAAGCGACGAGCCAAGAGCAGCCATGGAGACAAGGATGAGCAGAGACAGGCCACGAAGGAGAACCACGAGTGGGTCCCGTTCGAGCATCAAGGAGACGAACCGCCAAGCGATCTACACGCAGCGGCAGGGCTCATACCCCGCCTACGCCGTAAGTAGCGGTTCAAGATGCGTTTACCCCTCGTAGCCTTTGGCATATTCGTGTGCTGTGTTCTGCCCCGGTGTGCTCTTTCCCCCAGAGGTCTACGGCAGGGGTGGCCAACTAGTCACAGACAAAGAGCCAATTTTTTTACTGTGTTACAGCAAAGAGCCACATCATACAAATATGCACTACATAAACATCACCCCATCCCGCACACGCGCGCACACACACACACACACACACACACACACCCCTCTGCTCAGACAGATGTATTGTAAATGTCATCAACATGATAATGACAGAAATTGACTCCTACAATACTAAAGGGCTGGACTCGACTCTCCCCGGTTTCCAGGCTTTTCCACCGCTCGCTTTAGCCGCTCCCTGGTACTTTTTATTAGTGGTTTGGCCCTGGTTCTAACCGGGCGAGTCGATACCAGAACAATATTACGTCAGCAAACATCAACCTGATGTTTCAAACCAGTATTCAGCAGAAACACAACTGTCTTTATCAAACCATGATTCACTCTCTGACTGCATTTAGCAAAAGATATAGATTTGACACATAACACCAACACCACTTTAGCTGATTTAGAACCACAGACACATGTTCAGTGTAAGACCAGATTCTTTCGCATTTGATTGAAGACAGACACTCACCAGGCAGAGTTGGCTTATCTCCTGGTGTAGCTGGTGCTAGCTGGTTTTAGCATGTTGGCCGGTGTTAGCTGGTGTTAGCCGATGTCCGTAAATTTAATTCATTTGGTCAAACCACCTCCAGACTTTTCGGTTCTGCCTCTACTTCTGCTGCTGTGATCTTTCATTTCACGGTTGTCAGCTTTTTAACTTTTCTCTGCATTGTCATGTTTGTGGGAATCATTCTGCGGCATCCTTAGCGCTAGCTCCACAAACACCTTCTGGTTTCTGGTGGAACCATCGAGCTCACGCTGGTGTCCTCTCCTCAAACTGAGGAAGGTGTTGCCCTCATCCAGCGACCGATGAATCGTTTTCCGGACAGACGTCATGGGTCGAGGCAACGTGTTGTTTGTTATGATATTTACAACAGCTGAGGCAGCAGCTGCATAGTGATTGACAGCGCATCTGACCAATCAGAATTGACTTTTGCCGACGTCAGATTGTTTTGGCGGCCCGGCTAGTGGAGTGGGGTCGGCCTTTACTATGGGTCAGAACTACATAGAGAATGAATGGCAGCACCACCACCCAGGCGTTTTTGACGCTTGTTGTGTGAAAGCCCGAGAGCCGCACGGAACCAGCCAAAGAGCTGCATGTGGCTCACGAGCCGCGAGTTTGGCACCCCTGGTCTACGGCCTGGGATCTGCAGCGGTAGCCGGTCGCTATACTCTGTGGTACAGGGCGAGGACGCAGAGGCATTGGGACGTACCGCGAAGCGATCTACACGCAGCGTAGATAATAACGGTGATAGCTGGTTATTACCTCCGAGGGGACTCTGCTTACCCTCTGCAGAACTGGCTCCTAAAACCTTTTCAGGACACAGTGACAGACCAAGAGCAAGTATGTAATAGAAAATTCAGCACAGCGCAAGTGGTTGTTGAAAATGCTTTTGGTAGTAGGAATGACTCGGACACAGAACATGCCTGCTCTGCACAATCTTTGAGAACCACGGAGAGACCTGTGACTACATACCTGCAGCAACAGCAGCCTGTGTAGCAGTGGGTGCAGAGGAGGGCTAGCCGATGCGTCGCTTTTCATATGGCTAAACATTTATTTTGACCAAAAATAAAACTTTTTGTATTTACCAAATGTCTCCATCCTTGTTCATAAATTTACCAATGTTATACGGACTTGTTGACAAATATAATGTATGTAGTAAAAGTACATAGGTATATAGTAGGAAAACATAATTTTTGAACCCCTTTTCTGCACCTGTACAGACCAGTGGGGGCGGGTCCCGGCTCAAAAGTGGCCAAAATGACGTGCGCTGGGGGTGGACCCAGAAGTAGAATTAGCCAACGCTAACATATAGCATTGGCTGACCTCTCGAAAACGTCTTTACAGGATGGACCAAAAGCTGGTTTTTGGGCCTGTTGTGTCTGCTATTATTAATATTCTTTAATTCTTCATAAATATACAGTATGTATCTTCACATGTGTAAAATTGTGTTTGGGATAATGTGAGCACGCAATGGCAGGAAGTCACTTATATAAATCATAAGGCCAATGTGACGTTGGAGACAATAGGACCCCCAGCTGCATCTCGGCAGCGTCTGTGTCATTAGACTGCATATGTATGTCTTGTGGATGCATGTTTGGTTATAATTGTATCTTAGGACATCTGGAAGGACAATAATAGCCTATAGATTCGATGTATTTACCATTTGCAGTAAAACCACATGTAGTGAGATCATCAGGGAGGACAGACTCAGAGATACGGAGTTAACCAGGACTAGTCTACAAGATTATTGAATGACAAGTATACAATCGACATCTTTCCATTTAAAACAATGTAGTGTCAATGTGCGGCTAGGATCGAGGCCAAATAGCTGAGCGCCGATCGGTGTAGCTGGATCGCAGGGGAGACACATGGATACATCGATTAAATAGATGAATGCGTTGCTTTTAGGGATGTACCGAATCCAGGATTCGGGTTTGGCCGAATATTGGCTTTTTTGACGGGGTTCGGTTTCTGGCCGAACCTTAGAATTTTTCCACACCGAACCCAAACCCTGCACTTACACTATGCGCGCTGTGGCTGTTGGATTCGTCACGGAAATCAGATTCGTTCGGATGTGTAAATAAACATGCACTTTAGCGGGGGTTTATATCCTCTTGCTCTCTGTTCCTCTTTGGGTGCGCTGAGGTCTCTTCCTGGTCATGTGATCCCCGCGGTCCAATTACCTCTAGTCATATGCCGGTGCGAGGGGATGTTATGATTCTTGTTTTCACCTGTAATGCGGTTCTGATGGGATCATAAACTAACTTCCTATTCACCAACTTTATGGAGCCGATTACCAGTGCCAGGTACTTGTCATCTGAGCTGCGTATGACTGTAGAAGCAGAGTTGGTGAGTCCATGTTTCAGCACCTAGCCTCTTAGCATTAGCATATAATGTTTTGACCTGAACCAGTGGAAGCTATTTATGCATGTATGGTGCTTTAGCTCTTATTTTTACATGACATGCACAGCAATATATGTACTTTATCACTGAAGTTTTACACTGCTGTGAACTGAATGTATTTGTGTTTAATGATAAGCGGGATTATTATAAATGTTATAATAATAGATTCTGGTCGAGCTACATGTCCAATTTGCAATGCCGATTTGTCTCGTGGTGGTAAGGACCCTAAACAGTACACAACACCGCTGCTTTTAAAACATTTGCATATGAAACATCAATGGACTGAGGATGGAATACGATTCGGTATTCGGGTTCGGCAGAATCTTAACCAGTGGATTCGGTATTCGGCCGAACCCCAAAAACCTGGATTCGGTACATCCCTAGTTGCTTTTGTACCATTTCATCAGTGATTGTTGTACAGCTTATAATATGTTGTGCTAATGCTAATGTTTGCATACGTATCAGATCGCAAATAAAACTAGATGGCTCTGTGGGATGAGAGCGTAGGTGAAATGAGAAGCCTGTGAGCAAGTTGGGGGGCGGTGCTAAAAATTCGAACTGAAAAAAAACCTGCAGAAACTGGTATAGCTCCTTTAAGGTCCATCTACACCTGCGGACTGCTTCAGTCCTGCACCGGACCTGTCCATGTTCGACGTTCTGTAGCTTAGGTCCAGGATCTATAGCCCGTCCGTCCGTGGGAGCGGATCCCTTTCTCAAACCATGGGTCTCCCCGAGCTTTCTCACTTTTTTCCCACTGGGTTTTTCTTATGAGTTTTTCCTTGCTGATGCAGGAGGGTCTGTTGGGCAGTTAGTGTCCAACTAGAAGGACTGTGGTGATGATCCAGGACACTTTAACATTCTACAACATGTATGGACAGTTATCAACATGTGTTCTATATTCTTTTTGTGTTTGAACTGTTGATTCTCTGATCTGTGTTGGTGATTCAATGGTTTTGTTAGGTCCTCTGAGATGACTTATGTTGTGATTTAGGGCTATACAAGAAAAAATTGTATTACATTGTAAGGTAAAAAGACTTCTTTTTAATCAGAATATATTGATTATTCCATATTGGTGTATATAGGGGGGTACAGCTATGTTTATGTTATAATTTCCAGAATTGTAGATCCTGTTCATGGTATTTTGACAGTTTTATAGCGCAGTTTAGATAGTTCAAAGTCAAATTGTAAAAGAAATTGAATGCCACCTACATTTTTGAATATTTTAGCAGGGAATTGAAACCATACAGTGTTCATGTGAGTTATAAAATGCTGTAACCATCTTAATTTTAAAGCACCATTCATTGGATCAAAATCTATAGCATTTAAGCCGCCTTCCTCTGAGTACTTGACAATATCATTCTTCCGTATTGATAATAATTGTTCCAGATGAAATTAAATTGTTCTGGTTGATTTGCTTTATAACATTCTGAGGTACAGTATATTCATAGAATAAGCAGGATAAATAACTCTGGAGTCCTTCCATTTCAGAGAGCAACAATCTACCAAATATGGACAGATCTCTCTGTAACCATATATTTAAGATAGTCTTACTCTTTTTAATAGAATTATCAAAGTTGTTTTTCATACGTGCCTCTATGTTTTTTTAAATTACAATTCCCAAGTATTTATCTTGTTCTTTGACTGGTAAATTATACAAGGATATCTCAGGGTGGTCATGAATTGCCAATAATTTGCATTCATCAATAAATAGATGTAGGCCAGAGGTTTTAGAAAAACGACTAACTACTTGTAGAGCTGCACCTGTCTGTATTATTAATGTGTGAAGCGCTTTGTGACCCTGGTCTGTGAAATGCGCTATACAAATAAACTTTACTTACTTCCTTAATTATTTTCAGTGACTTTATTTCTTAGGACAAACTGCTGTAACGTTTTACAAAGTTGAGTTGTTATTGTGCACCGCCTGCTCCCTTTAATTTATCTCTCATTTGTGAGTAGCTTGGGACTCTCTAAAGCTGCTGCCCAGTTGTGTGTGATCCAAGGTTTCACAGACAGTGTGTAGTTTTGGTC